GTCCTGGGATCGAGTCCCGCATCGGGCTCCCTGCTCAGCAGGGAGTCTGCTTCTCCCTCTGACCCTCCCCACTCTCATGCTCTATCTCATTGTCTCTCTCAGATAAATAAATAAAATCTTTAAAAAAAAAAAAAGAATATATTATACGAGTGCTTTACATATATTATGTCCTGTAATTTTTAGAATAAGTGTACAGATTAAATATAGTCAGCCCTACTCCATGATGAAGAAATTGGCCTTTTCCAAGGCTGCATCACTGGTAGACAGCTGAGTTGAGATCACGCTGATCTTTCCCCTAAACCACTGGGCAGACGACACAGCCAAAAAGACTGGAGGCTCTGAAGTGACCTAAGAAGTAGCAATACGGAAATGTGCCAATGATAAGTGGAAAGTTGGATATAAAATGTACATATGTTGCAATTAGAGTTAATAAGTGTTTGAATAAAAAGATCGGAGTACAGTACATAAAGATTTTTGTGCTTGTATTAGATGGGCAGAGTTTGGGGTGGTGTTTTTCCTTTATCTTCTAAAATATCTATAGTTGTAGATAAGTCACTTTCAAATTAAAGTATCATTAAAATAGAGTGACTGTAGCATCAGTTTAGTTCATCAGAGTATCTAAAAATCTTAATGCTTTTGATATGCTTCTGAAAGATTGTATGGTCATTTGAGCTTGTATTGATTTTATTTTTAAATTCCAGATCATCAAGTTATTGGATGGAAAACGATCTCAAACTGTGGGAATCTTGATATCTAGTTTGCATTTAGAAATGAAGGATATCCAACAGGGTAAGTTCTCCATCACTTTTTTTTTCCCAACTTTAACATTTTTCAACATTTTATCATGAAATTTCAAGCATATAAATGATTAGAATGCCATAATAAATCCCATGTACCCAATATCCAGCTACAAAACCACCAGTCCACTCTTGTTTCATCTGAAATACTCTCCCTCACTAGCTAGACTATTTTAAAGCAAATACTAGACATTTTATAATTCATCTGTTAAAAATGTCAGGACACTGATAAAAACTTAAGGATGCTTTTTCAAGCATAATTCCAGAGCAATTGTCATGCATTTAAAAACATTTATAATAATTTTTCAGTATTATCATATACATAGTTCTAATTTCCCTGATTGGACATTCACTAATTCATCCATTTGTTTATAATTAGTTCGAAGATCCAGACAACTTTCATGCATTGCCTTTTTTGGGTGTCTCCCAGTTTTCTTTTAATCTAGAAGTTTCTGTACTCCATGCTATTTCCTTTTTTCCTTTGTAATTAATTTTTTTAAGACACCAGGTCATTTGTCCTGTGGAGTTTCCCACATTTTAGATTTTCTGATTGCATTGCTATGTTTTCATTTATTATGTTTTTCTGTCCCCTGTGGTTCCTTAGGTAAACAGTTTGATCTACAGACTTGATCCCAGTAGGGGAAGAATACTTCATAAATGCTATTGCATATTGTATCAAGAAATACATAATATCTATTTGTTTCTTTATGTTGTTAGTGGACACTAAAGATCTTTGCCTAGATTCATTATTTCATTAGAAGTTTCCAAAATAATGATACACCGACTCCATCATTTCTCTTCATTAGCTGGAATACTTCTACGGTGAAACACCTTGCTTCTTCGTCTACTTGGTTATGTCATTGTTTCTTAATCCCTTCTTTTTGTCAAATGATGCTATTTCAACTTGATTATCTTTGGCTCAGTTCGAAATAGAACATTTAAAAAAAGGAAACTTTACTTACATATATTTTTCTTAGTCTCTAGAAAAAGAGATCAAAAACTATCTTACCTTTTTGAAATCTGTGTCTTGCATGAAAACAATACTCCCCTTTCTCAGTAATCAATTAAATATAAATCCTTATTTTGACATGTCATTGATAATATTTTCTGAGTAGTAATACAATCTCCCATAGATGGTTTCAGTCGAATTCAGCATGGGCTTAACAGTGGAGACTCTCTCAGACCTCATTGCCCTTCAGGTTTTTACTCTGTGTTGCCTCAAGGTTGTTTTACCCAGGTGCACAGCAGAAGACTTGCAGAGGTCCTGAACCAAAAGACACCAAGATATACACACTAACGGTTTAAAATTTTGCTTTATTGCAAACATAAAAAAACTCCCCATAAAACTAAAGATACTGTGAATTAGCTGATGGTCACAGAGGATGCAAACAATCTGTCTATTTATAACACTTTAGCTTAATTAAGTGGAACTAAATATATAAGGATGAATATTAAACCTCAAAAAATGTTGCAGCAGGGGATTTGAATTTGGGCAGGGGCAGCTAAAGGGATCCACCATCAAAATATGGGAAAGGGATTCTTCAGTGATTTTTAGGAGCTAGATTTTCTAGAAAAATTGAGTTTCTGGTAAATTCAAACCAGGGAACTGTGACGTGACACAGGAAAGGAAAAATGAAAGAAACGAAACACATAAATCAGCAGGAAAGCTGATCATCTTTTGTCAAAGAGATGAGCTTTTTTGATGTAGTCTCAGTTTGGAAAGGAATTCTCCAGCTCTAGCGGCAGAGTGGTATCCTAAGCAACACCACTCCTCCGAAGTTTGGTGGAAACCCAGGTATGCCCGGTTTCATCACCATGATGTGCAGCACTGTGGATACGAGTCTTCATAATGGCGGCAGCACCTGAGACTCGATTCAGTTCTTTTTGGGCACATCGCACTGTAGTGTATCAGGCTGCCGTGTGACGAGAGTCCTTCCAGCCGTGTGGTATTCCAGTTACCAACTCCGGACTATAAACCTCCTTCCCATGGCACCCCAGCCTCATTGGAGTGAATGTTCACTGTGAGTGAGCTGAGAGATTAGTCCCCCCACACCTTTTCCAGTACTCTCCTCTAGACAAGAGCATGCTCACCTGAAGCCGTAGCGAATTTACATGTCCGCGTTGGAAATGTCGTAACATCGCAGATTTCTCGGACTCGTGGGCACCATTTTAGTTCTTTCTCCTGTTCCAAGCACCTCTGTTCCCCACCACAGAGTTGGCTCCTAAGTTCTTAAAAAAAAAAAAAAGTCACCTCTATTCCATGTCTTCATTTAGTAATGCATTCCAGATGAATAGAACCCAAGCTTAATTTTGCTTTAGAATCATGTGACTGACACTGGCATCCGAAGGTCACTTAGGAGCCCAAGCTGTGTCAGTTACATTTCGTGCTGCGTCTGTGTCTGGTCGTGAATGGAATGCACTTGGCCTTGTGTTGTCATCCTGATGAAAGGACTCGCTGTGCTGCTGTTGGCCCAGAGCGCATATTTGGACGTGAGAGGGGCTGCAGTGAGCCCCGCCTGGGGCTGACCAGCTGGGAGCCAGGCAAGGCCGCACAGCACATCAGCCCGGGTGAAATGACCCCGGTGCCGAGGCTGTTCTTCAGCCTGTGGTCATACAGTCGTCACTGTCAGTGCCCAAAGACAGACGCACTGACTTGCATTTCCCAAACTCACAAGGAGCTGATGTATAAACCAGAAAGCGAACGTAGTCACTGAGGGAAAAGAATTTTCCTTTGTCATGATGAAACTATTTATCATGTCGGTTCATCGTTGCATCCCTATCACTTGCCTCTCCTCTCACTGTGTATTTGTTGATGCTCTTTTCCCCCTTGCTGGGATGACAGCGTGGTCACCTTGATAATAGTTTTGGGTATGTCCGTTCACATATGTTACCTCCCATAGCTGGATAATCCACTTTTTTCCTGGTTCAACTCTTAAAAAGCAACCTTGTCATCCTCCTTTGTAAAGGTGGTCACTTTTCTCTTGTCCACGAGACACTGCCTTTGATGTCTATTCAAGAAGTGGAATTTTGAAGCTCTGTACCTCCAGGTCTTACAGATAGCAAGCTTGCTCCTTTATGTCCTGTTGTGTTTTTTTTTTTTCCTAAGAATTTCTCTGATAATTAAACCTTGTTTACAACTAATTGGGCTAACATATCACATATAAAAGCCACTCGTTTTTTCTTTAAAATTTAATTTGATTTAAAAAAAATAGACTGAACCTTAGAATAGATGGAATCAGAATGTCATGCATCCCACTCCAGTGCATTTGGGCAAAACTTTCTTCCTTTCCTCCTGCCTTCCCGCCTTCCCTCCCTCAGGAAACATGGATTGAATGCCAGTTCTGTACCAGGCACCATGAGCACCCCAACACATAAGATCCAGACTCTCACATTCTCAGGAGTGCGCATGATGGTGGGAGAGACGTACAAAGCAGCGCAAGGCGACAGTAGAGTTGCCCTTGAAATAACAGAGAGGCGTATCTTGACTCCTCCTGTGAAACTTAAGATGAGTCTTAGAAGATGAAACAGTGGTCATCACACGCAGGACAGAAGGCATGTGAAGAGGAGGCCTGCTAGGATATATAGATGACGCGTGACTGCGGGCTGTTTCAGGGCCTAGGGCTAGAAAGGCAAGTGGCATCCAGACCAGGAGGGGCCCTGAACATCATACAAACTTTAGACATTATCCCTTGAGTAACCGGGAGACACGATTTAAGAGTGTCAATGCTGTGATCTAAGTCCGAATACAGAATACCTCTCAGGCTGTGGAAGACAGGCCTCCAAGGCCTTGCGTGCTCTGGCCCTAGCCGGTACCTCCGACTTCACTTGGTCGTGCTTGCTTCCTGTCTCCCTGCACGCTAACCACAGCAGTCCTCCTTGACTCCTTAAAAAGGCCAAGTTCTTTTCTTTTCCTGTGTCTCTGAAAGTGTAGCACTTTGTGAGCAGCATTTCACATTCCCTCTGTTTGAAATGCTTTTCCACCCCACTAGAGCGAGCTCCTTTTCTTTGCTAGGTTTTGGCATAGAGGACGCCTCAGAGACCCTCCTGAATGTAAGCTACCCTAAATCAATTCTCTTCTATTCTACTCAGCACTTAATACTTCATTTGTTCCTCTACTTATGTTTCCATTTACACCCATCACCAGAGTATAAGTTCCAAGAGGGAGATTGCTCAGTGCTGTGTCCCTAGCACCTTGCAGTGTGCCTGGCACCTGAGTGATGATCTTCAAGGATCTGTTGAATGGAGAGACAGAAATCATATCAAAGGTGGATAAATCTGTTAGAAAGGGATTGTGATGACTGAGATAATAAATGGTGAAGGCCAGAACTAAGGCTGTGTCTATAGAAATATAGGGGAGACCACATCCAAGGACTATTTGGAGAGAGAATTCCTCCATTTAGCCACATCAGAGGCAAGCAGTGATGGAGAAGAAGTCTTTATGCACCTTGGATTTCTGGCTTCAGCAAGAATGTATATAATGAATGGTACCAAAACATAAACAGAAAGATAGGAGAAAAAGCATAGGTAAAAGCAGGAAGATCAATTCTGTTTTAGGATTTGAGTCTGAAACAACTGGAGATATTGAAGCTAATGTGTTCAATGAGCATCTGAAAAGTCTAGCCTGATGCGAAGTAGGTAGGGCTCTGTTGGAGATAGAACATCGCCAAAAAGGTATCTGTTTCTCTCTACCCAAGATGATGCTGGATATCTTGTAGAAGAAAGCCAAGTCCCTAAATGGACCGAAGTTTAAAGCACTGCATGACTCACGGCAGGACCTTGGTTGTGGCAGGGGAAGAATGGTTTCAGGAGACTGACCATAATCCCCACAGCACTTGTATTTGGTCCAGGAGAGACTCTGAATAAGTGATTTACTTCTTGCTGGCTTTCCATCTGCTAAACTTGATGACTTGTATTTAAAAGCATTTTGGCATCCTTGGACACAGCGACTGCCTACATGATTGCAAATTAGTGTTTTCATTCCACATTAGTGAT